TTCCATTCAGCCACTCTTTCATCATCTCCTCAATGAGGTGGTCTCAAAAGTTGCAGTTACAACACACATAGGGCGCACCGCACCAAAGGGCGCACCGCACATTTTGAGGGAAAAAAAAGACGTTTAAGTGCGCCTTATAGTCGTGAAAATACGGTATTTACATATATATACATATATATATGTATATATGTATACATACATATATATGATATATATACACATATATATATGTATATATGTATATATATATATACATATATACATATATATGTATATATATGTATATATATGTATATATACGAATATATACATATATATACATATATATATAAATATAGATGTTATGTAAAAATCTTGCAATGGCACATCATTTTACTTTACTACTCAAATCAAGAAGGTTTTACTTTTAGTTTAGTTTCTCCGATGTGGGGAGACTGATTACCATTTTCTGCTCAACAATAACAAACATAAACAGTTGAATTCAATGAAGTCTGTAAATATCAGATCCAAATCAAATTATTAAATCTCTTCTTAAAGCGATGAAGATTTAAAAAAAAAAATCCTATACCCCATCGTTGGGGACGGTAGAGGTTCTACACCAGTGGTAACCATCAGGTAGATTACTAATCCCTTTTTTAAAGGCAGTGCTGACCAATTATTACCTTGCAAGCAAGATGAAATGCAGTGACGTGAATAATGTCGACCCGTCAACCAGAGGTGGAAGGCTGAAGCAAAACAAACATGGCTGCACCAGTTTTAGCTGGAATACCTTCAATTTATTTTTCAAAGACGTGCAAAAGGACCCAGTTTGTGCCTTTGAGAATGGGAAAGTTGTTTGGGGCATTCCTCCCAACCGGATTTGGTAAGAGTTTGATTTATCAGTTAAATCCACTAGCTGTGAAACAAATGAAGAATGTGATTGGTCACAGCGTCTGCTGTATCAGAACTGTAACGAATGTCCCTCTCTTTCCACAGGAATATTTTCCAGGTGATAGTGTAGAATTCAAATTGGACTACATGCATCAATGTGGCTTATGCCAGGTAAGGCCGAGACAGTGGCACCGATCACAACTCAATACATAACAAAAAAATTCATCAGACTAATTTAAAACATGTACAAAACCATGGATTTTATTTCCAAACCCTTGGTGCAAGAGTTTTAACTGACCTATTGAAACCAGTTCCTTTCATTTCCAGTCTTTTAGTAAATTGTTTCATGCTGTGGAGGCAGAATAGTGAAATTCAGGCAGCTTCTGTGCAGATATTTGGCACAGACAGGAACAGTGATTCTTGTAATTGCAAAGAATAGAGTCTAACCGCTTTTGGTTGAATAAATTCATACAGACATGAGGAGAGCTGACGTATAGCCTTAGAAATGAACATACCAATGAGAGTATATGATTCTCCATTGCTGGCCAGCCCACACGTGTGTACAGTTCACTGTGGAGTGTGCGTACAATTTGTTATAAACCTTAATAAGGCAAAAGATTGTACTTTTTAAAAAAGCAGAGTATTTATTGATATTTTTTTGCTGTTGTTTTTAGGCATCTTTACAAGGAGTGCAAAAAAATTAAGCTGGTACTGTAATTTACCCCTCTTTTTTTCCTCTGGCAGGCAGAAGAAATGAACAACAGCACCTCCCCGAGGACCCACACTTGGCTTCACTAATTCATTCAAACAAGCATTTCATTTCTCTAACACTCATCAGATGAGACATCGACTCTCCACTCAACACATCAACTGTCACAATCCTCAAGATGTCCCAGCTATTCCAGACAAGCTCTCTGCACGGTCTGGAAACCGGCTGTCACCTTGCAACCCTCCAGACCCAAAGAACAAGCAAACAGTTTGGGCGGAGGTGCCGAAATTAGCAGCAGAGATCTGACATTTAGGCCTTTTACACGATTGTGAAAGTGCGTCCATCCCTCTGTGTCACAACACTCGACTGCATCTGTTAGCTGCTTAGCGAACCAGGCTGGGAGACATCAATCTCCTCAGCCTCCCTCTCCATCAATTCCCTCTGCTTCCAGCTCTGCTGACCTGAAGGCAGCTGAACCTTTAAAAGATTCCTCCACCAGCATACATCTGTTTTTATGCAGTCAGCTAGTATTTTAAAGTTTGATAACTCCTCTATGATACCTAATTTGAGCATTTTCCTTCTTCTGCTTCCGTTAAAAACCCATTTTCTGCAGAGAAGATGCTCCTATCTGTTGGTTGGTAAAGGCCAGGCTATCTGCCAAAAACTCAGCTCCAGAGACGGAAACAGAGCTCTTCTTGTTCCGTCTGAATTCCATCATCCAGCAGGGCCCTGCAGATCTAAATGCACCCCCCCACCCCTTCCTCCCTACAACAGCAGCCGCAGCATATAAATGCGCCCCATTCTTCTTGCAGTGTGTGCATTTATTTGTGTGTCATGCTCTCATGGCCGTGGCGTTTCCTGCAGGGTGCCTTTGAGTGAAAAAAGCAGCAAATGAAGGGAAGCTCATATTAAGTTGAGGAATGATTCAGCTGTTGAAGGGAGCTTTTTGTTCCTCCTTCTGTGTGTGCTTTCTCTAGTAGATGTTCCTCCATTGTGAATAGTTTCGTGCTCCTTTTTGCAACAGTTAGGGAAAAGCATGCTGACTAGACCACATTAATTAATGTTTCTTTGCATGGGCTGAGCTTTGAACTCTGCGTGCAATAAGGCACAGAGATGAGCTCAGCTTAATTAAAGGTACAGCAGATGCATTTTCTCTTAGTTTTAACAGAAAAGCTCGCCTGCAGAGAGCATGCATGCTCCTGTTATTTGGAATTTCCTCAATTCCAAAACATAGAGGTGACCAATGTCAGTTTTAAACTCACACTCAGATTTGTTCTTTAAGAGATTTTTGGCATTATTTTTGATGAAAAATTAGTGTGTGAATCTAATCCTACCTGTTAATATCAGTTCCACTGCTGCAGGTATGGAGTGCTCCTCTTCCTCCTCCTCCACAAAAAAAAAAGTCAGCCAAAAAAGTGCTTCTTTCAAAAAATTAATTAATAAATAAAATAAAACGGTCTAAAAAAAAAAAAAGCATTAAATTAAACATGCAAAATTGGGACAGTCGTTTCTCAATCCATCTGCAGGTGGGACCCCATGTTAAAACAGAAATTATAGAGTCTCTACAGCCTTATAAAGATACACCAGATCCGAGCAGAGGCAGACAAGCCTCACTCGGCTTGGCTTCTTCCTCAATAGATCCTTATATAAATTTTTAAATTGTCACGTTGATCAGAAAGCATGATGCATGTTTTAGCATCTTAAAAAAAATCCATTATAATAATCTTTATCATTACTGCCTCTTGTGCAGGAAGTATCACCTGAGCAGAGCAGTCTGCGGTTATAACTCCCCCTTTAGTCAGTCATTAGCGGTAAATCCACGGTAAATTCCCTTCAGAGAGGAGCACCGACTGAAGGTTTGATGGAGCTGATCACAGCGGACGCTCAGCTGGAGACGCTCCGGTTGTTGCAGGAGGATGCTGCCGCTGCTGCTGCTGCTGAGGATGCCGCGACCGCTCCGGCTCCGCGAACGAGCGCAGCCTCGCAGGCAGGCGCGCCCCCGCCGCCGCGGTGTCACCCTGGCAACGCTTTCTTCTGACCTCAATACGGTCCGCGATTCCTATCAGTTTGTTTCTTGTCGCTTTTAACAGTAGAGCCGGTCGCTCTGCGCACTTTCAGGTGGCTGGAAGAGGAAGGGAATTAAAGCTGACTAGGTTTTATTTTAATTCTTTATTTCCCTTCCGCCATACCTCCCCTCCTCTCATCCACGCGCATCCATCTGCATCAGCGTGACGTCAGAGGATGTTTAAAAACACGTACGTCCATTTTATTTATTTATTTATTTATTTGTATCCTTGTTTTTACTACCTCATATTATTGTGCATATGACGAGATGCATTTAAATGTATCACATGTGTTTCCTGGTTGTATCTTTAGTGAATCAACTTCAACCAATTTTTTATCTATTCCTTGTCATATTTTAATTAATTTATACAAAAAAGTATTAAATATAATTTTGAGTACTTAAACACATCAGAAAAAAAGATACACAATTACCAGGGAGGCATTTAGGAGATGTAGGTCCGTGCATAATATGAGCCATATGGGCAGCTACCCAGGGCAGCATGAGGCTGGGGTTAACCAATAAAAATCCTTAATGGTCGGTTGCTGGTTGAGCTTGTTTTTTAATCATTTTAAACTGTGCTGTTAACACCTCAGACTGTATTTTATACCACCTTAGGATTAAAAGTACTTTTTGCATTCGGCTCGGTTAGGGGGCAGCAGAAGAAGAAGCTCGCCAAGGGTGTTCTGTTCTGTTTATATCCTGCAAATTGGAAGACTGCCTTTAAAAAATATTTATATCCATACAAAAAAAAATAAAAAAGAACACCAACAGCTTGGGCTTCAGGGTCTAATTTGTCATATTGTCATTTTTTTTAAGTTTACAGCAGGGGTCACCAACCTTTTTAAGGTTGAGGGCTACTTCATGGCTACCGAGTCATAGGAAGGGCTACCAATACTGATCTATGAACTGGAGGGATCAGTGTTCACCTACAGTAAATCGCATCCATAAGAAACTAATTTTTATTCTTATTTTATTCTTTTATTCATTTCTAATTTTCTTTTTAATATTGTCATTTTGAAACCACTGAAATATGATGAAATAGTTAACATAATGAAATAATACATAAATAAACTTAACCCACTGAGTGAGTTGTTCTGTTTTCAGAAGACGAAGAGGGCACCCCATGTGGTCCTTGAGGGCTTCTTGGTGCCCGCGGGCACCGCGTTGGTGACCCCTGGTTTACAGTATAATGTACGTACTTACAACTACAAACGTTAGTTGCTTCTGCAAAAAAGAAGTTGGTCACTGTGTTCCCATTTTCTTCCTCTAAGTGTGTGAAAAAGAACAAGTGCACAAAATAAATGCTAATGATTACAAGGAAAGAAACACTTAAAAAAATGTACTTCACCTTAAATGTTTACACATAGTACATTTCTCCCAGGCATCCTTATAGGCCCTGACCACACAAAAATGAGTATTTTGCACAACAGAGATTTCAAGCTGCCGTTACACCTTCCACATACAGGGGCTCTAAATGAGAAACAAATTGATTAAAACACATTAAAGTGTAGAAAGTGGTAGATCAGTGGTAGGGCGGATGCATTATTTGCAAAGGCAGTAGTTTTCTGTGCAGTTGTACCAGGTTTGATTCGCAACCCATTTTGCTGATAAATAGTTGCTCCCTCCAAAATACCAATAGTGTCACAAAAAGTAAAGAAATCACATTTTATGTATCAATTCAGAAAAGGGAAAATATTAGCATAAATGTTCCAAAAAAGTAAAAAAACAAAACAACAAAAAAAAAACACTGAACTTTGTTTTCCAAGTTTAATGTTTTTATCCCCATCCAGGAAGCTTTTGCAATTCAAAATGATTAGCACTGAGTTGTAAGCTTTATAGAGTAGCCCAAGAAATCCTTGTTATGGCTTAGAAAACATGCAAATTGAACGAACAGAATGAGCCCACCCCTTTGTAATTGGGAGTCGTTGAGGTCCTTGTTAGCTTACAATACCCAATACTGGTCTATGCCTCTGAAAGGGAATTGTTAGGGTCATTGTTGGCCTGGCTGACCAGGCAAGATGTCTTGGTCCCCTGCAGAGCGATGAGTATTGAGATGATAGGGCAAAGTATTCAACTCTATCGCTGTGTTGAGAATCTTCACCAGCACTTAGCATAAATGATGCTATGAGATACATATCAAGGGTGCTTTTCAATGTTCATAAGTGAAACAAATGTAAGGGATTAATCTTGATCATCTGAAATTTATCAAAGACAGGGCAGAAATAGTAACTATTGTTATTGGAAGGAGCAAATTCAAGATCTGTTTTTTTTTTCTTCACATTAATATCAGAGTTTTCTCCAGCTGGCAGAGCATTAGACATTATTGTAGGCATTAAAACAGCATTTTAAGCAAAGGGCCCTGTTGATGGAAATACATTTTTACTAACAGGATCAAAAGAATATGAATTAAAGAAAGTATGCAAATAAATGTAAAAAAGTAGCATTGCAGCTGATTTTACATTCAAAAAGCACCAAAATTAAAGCTTAAGCCAACGCAGGATGCATGAGAAAAAGGACCTGTTTAATTCTTTTCAGCAAATATGATGCCAAGACAGTTTAGAAAGGCTGGAAGTTCAAGGAAAGTCAGACGTTATTGTAAAAGCTGCCAAAAGTCATGGTAAGCATCCAAAAATTCACTGCCTCAGTTTGACTAAATGAGTCTATTTTTACTGCTGTTATGTCTCTTGTTCTTTTTTCCATAATTCTAATGTGTTACTTGTTCTTTTTCTCTTCTTTGTTAACATACTGTACGCTAGACAGTTTGATTTAGGATCAGGTAATAAACATGACTTAAAATAACAAGAAAACCAGCAAAATAAGAGTTTCAGAACAGGTTTAAAAAATATTGATCCAAACAATTTAAAGCACTGATTCTCAATGCTAGGGTCATGACCCCATTTGGGTTCACAGATAAAAAAGAATGGTGTCTTGAATTCCTGCACAGAAATTAAAATATATAATAGAACTGATGACGATTAAGGATTTTTATGTGTTTAACAATATTAAAACATCATTTGCAAATAGGGATGCAACGATCCAATATTTTTATCGGCATCGGCCCACATATAAGAAAAAAAAACTACAATTGATGACAATTGACTCGATATAGGGGCAGATCTATTTATTCTAACTCTATGCTATGTTCTGCCGTCGTGCGGCAGCGCAACAACACAACATGGTCATATTAAATATAACACCACCAACTTATTAAGCACCTCCAGAAGTTTCATAACAAGGAACATGCTAGGATTATCGGACTCTGCAAACAAAAAGGAAGCAGCGGGAAGCAGCTAGCTTCTTTGGAAGCAAAGAAAAGAAGTGAAATATTTCCATGTAACAGTATACAGGCCAAAAAAAGAGAAAGAGATGATACTTGATAATGATAATGACACTTTTTTTTTTACATGTTGACCAAGTCAGAGAACTTTTGGTTTAAGATTTTGTGCACAGTTGTTATATAAATGAGTCATAACATTTATATTTTTTTAAGAAAAGGGAAGTCAAATCATATGCACGGAAGAATGTTCCCAGTTTTTTTTTTTTTTTGCACACAATAAAACCAATTTTTAGCTAATAATTCAGTAGTGTTTTTGGGATCTGTATCAGATCGGTATCTGCCGACATTAAACTTCAAATATCGGTATCGCATCGGAGGTAAAAAAGGGGATCGGTGCATCCCTATTTACAAATAGACTAAACTATATACACATTGGTTGTTAATCGTTTTTTTTTTTTATTACCATTAAGTCTGTAGTTAGAAATGTTTGTATTTTAACCTAAAGTTTGGGTCATGAGACCCTGCTGGTACTGTTTTGTGAGTCAGAAGCCAAAAGGTTTGAGAACTTCTGCTTTAAAGTAATCTAGTTACATGGAAGGAAATTGTGAAGACATCCTAACCCCTAAACTATCATCCAGACATTTTTTAGTGGGCCTCCAAATTCAACAGATTGCATAATTATCAGTTTGAAGTTTTTTTCTTTAAAGGATAATAACTCTGTAACATCCATCATGACTGAGTCCCAGATCTCATCAGCGCAGATGGTAATAGCTGTGTGGTGGCAGCACCTGCTCCTCTGGATCCAGCACAGCCACATGTCTGTCTTATTACAGAGGCCGTAACACAGCCAAACATCTGCTTCAGTCACTATCCCACAGCAGAGCCATGCATCCGTGGTCAGTGGGCTGAGGCCTGCCAGGAAAACTTGGCTCACACAGTAAGAGAAGCCAGAAACTGCAGTCACCTTAGCTGGAATGAAACAAATCCAATTTAGGGCAGTACGATAATTTGATTTCAAAGATTTGTTGCTTTTCCCATGGCAGTGAAGCAAGTTGCTTCTCCACTTGTCTGAGGAGTCAGGCTCATCCACCTGAGGAATGAAGATTAGGGAGAGAAAGGAAGAGAGAAGAAGCTTCTACAAAGCTGCAAATTTCTCCTTGAAGACAAATGGCGTGTGTGCGGAGGTGGGGGGGACATCCCCCCAAGTGATAACCCATTAAAGCAAGGTTACAAGATGTAAGGGCTGTGTGTGTCAACATGTGCAGGAGGTGATGTCGAAGTCCTACGCTTGATAGACTCTGTCCTGGCAATGGAGGTAATGGGCCTGACAGCTGAGCCCATATCAAGATATACTCATTTACCCACACACCTCAGATCCTTGTCCCTGCTGGATCACACAGATAAAAGCTGGGTGAAAACACATGCATCATGACACACACACCCCAAAACACCCCCACCCACACACACACACTCCCATCTGGTCCCTCGGCTTCATAGAAACCTTTTGCCCCAATGTTTCGACATGTTCTTGTCCTTAAAGAAGATTGCAAACATTTCTTTTGCATTATTGTTGCATGTAAACCTGTCAAACAGACTGGAATGAACGCAAAAAAAAACATTGAAAATGTAAAAACCAGAGTACAATATGTTTTGTAAAATCGATAAAGTATTAACTTCAAATTTTAGCCTTGATTTTATTCTTCTGCTGCATCAAAATATTTTTACACAAAATAACAGAAAACACTGAACATTTAACATTATTACAATGATTCATAAAAGATTATTTTTTTCTTAAACTTACTTTTTTTTTTTTTTTTGGTCGATGTTGCAGCTCTTTTCAAGGAGAACTGAAAGTGCA